GGGGGGGGGGGACTCTCTCAGCCACAGGAACGGCATGTTAGTGAGCTGCTGAAGTTAGTCAGGACAAACTTCTTTATCTTTAAACCCTCTGGGGGGGAGCAAATAATTCTTTCAAAAGGTAATGTGAGAGAGCTGCTGGAAGAGATCTGGCGGCAATGTCCCTGGTATTCAGAGAAGGGATCTTTAAAGTTAGACACGTGGAGGAGAATTGGAACTATCCTTCATGAAGAGCCACGGGCAACAGCTGAAATTTTGATATATTGGAAGGTTGTTATGACTGCTTTAGAGACCCAGCAACAACCTCTTTTAAAAACTTTAGTAGAACCTTCTCCTTATAAAGGAGTTGTGTTGCACCCACCAACCCCAAATCTGGAGTATGTTTCCTCACCCCCAACAGCGCCTACTCCAGTGGATGAGAAAATCCAACCAAAAATGGGAAAAGTTCAAGCAATGATGCATCAGGCTTTCAATGAGGGGAAATTAGAGTCTGATGAGATTCCCCAGATGAATTTGTTTCCAGTCAATAGGCAAGTGGATGCTCAAGGCAACATGCAGACTGAATGGGTTCTGATTCCTTTAGCAGTTCTTAGGGAAATTAAAAAAGCAGTTAAAGATTATGGTATTCAAAGTCCTTTTACAAAGGGGCTCCTGACAAGTTTGGCTACCTCACGCATGATTCCTAGTGACTGGAAAGATTTAATGAGAATGATATTGAGCTCTACTCAGTATGTGGTTTTTGATTCAGAATATCAAAGGGAAGCTGTCACTAGGGGAAGGAATTCGGCGGGGCTGTATACGCCAGACCAAATCTATGGGGCAGGCTTGTTTGAATCCACTGCTGATCAAGCTGCTAATTTGCCTGATCACGTATTTCCAGTGGTTATGGCAGCTGTCCTTGGGGCATTGTCCCGCATCCAGGATGTGGGAACCCCGGCACAGTCTTTTTCTCAAATTAAGCAAACAGCATCTGAGTCTTATAACGATTTTGTGGAAAGGCTACAATTGGCTATTACCAGACAAATCTCTAATGAGGAAGCTGCAAAAGAACTTTTGCTGAAATTGGCAGTTGAAAATGCAAACGCTGACTGCAAGTGTATCTTACAGCCTTTGGTGGCTAGAGGTGAGGTTACTCTGGCTGATCTGTTAAAGGCATGTGCAGTGGTGGGTTCTCAGGCTTACAACATGGAGACTTTGGCTATGGCATTACAAAAAGGGATGAAACCTACAGGGAATTGTTTTAATTGTGGGAAGCCTGGCCATTTTAAAGCCCAGTGCAGATCCCCTGGGGGGGATGGCATTTAACAAAATCAAAAATAGGGACATTCGCCCGAAATCGGTCTGTCCAAAATGCAAAAAAGGGTTTCATTGAGCAAATCAATCTCGCTCTGATCAGAACCAAAATTCGGGAAACTAAATTTGGGGCATGCAGCTAGCCCCGCTCCCAAGGCTGTCACAAAAGCATTACCTGCAATTACTGGGAGTGCAGGTTTGGGTTTAAAAATGTTGAACTCAATTAATGTGACCTTTCCTAATCAAGTGTACATTGAGGACACTCATTTGCATGGGACACTGCCAGAAAAAACAGTGGGATTGGTACTTCCCAGGTCTTCTGCATCAGAAAAAGGGTTTTTTGTTATTCCAGGAGTTATTGATCAAGATTATAGAGGGGTCATTAAGATACAATTGTACACTGATA